GTTGGTTGTGGAGAAGGAAAAAAAAATCTTGGTGTTTCCTTAGCAGTGTGTATCAAACATAATAAAGTTCTTTAGTCACTTGCACAGAAGGAGGGTAGATTACTTTAAAATGTCTATCAGAAGGCAGTGTGTTGTGCTAGCTAAAGCAGAGAGTTCAGAGCTATGGAGTGTTACTCCTGATTGCCAGTGACTTGTGATCTAGACAAAAGCTCAGTCTCTACTACTAAGTTATGTCATTATAACTGCATAGCGTTTGAGCAGAGCACTGTGTCAATTGAAGGGCTCCGGCCATCAACATACCTACCACTTCTCAGGTAGGTAGAGTACCAATGCTCATACAAGAAGCGCTCCTATGGAATAAGTGTCACCTTCACTCGGCGCTATTGCAGCATGACTGCCACTATAACACTGTAAATGGTGACCAGCCTTAAATCACTTCATTTCATTTTGTTTTGGATCACCCATCTATAAAATGATAATAATACTGATCTCAGATGGAGCATGGGGGTATGATCAATTAATTAATAATTGTAAAGAAAAGGTAGGTCCTTACGTGCAAGAGACCATGTGAACATTGTTATTTTTAGTATGACTTAATGGTTGCTCTGCAAGCAATCCCACTTAGTTGCAGTCTGCTTTCTGGTTCCCCATCCTCAGGATGGAAGTACTCTACTTCACATCTGTACCTGTCACAGATTACTTCCTTGGTGCTGCTGTTTAGGACAGTGTATTGGCTGGGTTTGTGGGAAACTGCCACTCAGACCCTACCCATCATCCCAGAGAGGGGAGTAGTGCTCCTGTTGTCCTCATCCTCACATGATATGGGCAATTAGGACAGAGGTAGAAAAGAGCCCTCCTATTCCATTGTACATTGGGTGTTAAGGGCCAGGTGGTGAACCAGTTAACTAAGAGGGCAATGTCCTGCTCACTCAAGGTAATGCTGAATTTTCAAACTATTGGACTATCAGTTTTCAAATGTGAACAATTCTGTTTAAAAAGTATCTTTGGAGTGTTATTCTGGCATTGGAGAGAGAGTATTGGCATCATGTGAAAGTTTACTTTTATAACAGGATCTTTAAAATAAGATAGGAACAAATAATACAAAATATGCTACCGGAAAAGGTCCTAGTATATGTGCTAAATTAATTGCCTATAACCAAAAACTTCTACCATTAGGTGGTTATTATCCCCCCTCCCCCTTTTTTTAAATCATGGGCTTAGAAATCCATTGAAACCAATTCAAATGTGTGCTTTCATTATAGCACTGGCTCATCACTTCTCCCTCTGCTTCCTCTCTCCTCATGCCCCCCAGTTATTGCTGTTGCTCTGTGCCATCCAACCTTTCAAGTAGTTTGTGTGATATTACCTGGCCAGTTATATAGTGTTGCTGTTACATCACAATTCAGAAAGTATTGTGAAACAAAGGAATTGGCAGCACAAGAAAATTATGATTGAATCTGAAATGCTGTTTTCAATATACTAGCTACTGCATATTTCAAGTTAAAATAAGATCTCTGCATCCTCTAGTAGTCCCGCTGAAGACTTTTTGGGATCAGATCCTAAATTAGATCCAAGCATAACAAAATTGGCAATGGTGGGGAAGGAAATGGGCTGGGAACAGGCAGCAATGACTAAAGAGAGACCAGCATTGCTCCCAGGATGACATTTTTCAGAGGACAGCAGAACTTTGCTTTGCATCTCTCAGGTTTCTGATGGATTTTACTTTCTCCTCTTTTTGAAAGGTTGCATGAAAAGGATGTGTGTGTAAAGAGAGGGCTGACTGGCAGAGGAGTAATCTAAAACTGTTCCAAATGTAAGGGTCAGTGTGATAGAAGAGGGTATGATAAGAAGGGATATGGCTATGAAGAGAGCAATTAAGAGGAAGGCATAAAGGGTTTGGGAGGGAGGGAGTCAAAGTGGAAGAGGACCAAGGTGTTGGCCATAGGAATGGAGAGGAATTGATTTTTTTCATAGGTGTAGAGACAGAAACAGTTTGTTGTTGTTGTTGTTGTTTTTCCAATGGGCTGGATATGAGGAGATTAGAAAAGGAAAATTGAGTGGAGTCAAATGTGACATTGAGCTTGCAGAGGTGGAGCTAGGAAGGAAGAGTTGGGTGCTCTTCTCCACCTCCCCTTTTGTTTTGTTTTATATTTCAGTATTCTAGCCTTGAAGTTTCATGAAGTTCTTTAGGCAACACTTGCACCTAATTAACATAAACCACAAATTCCTCAATAGCTCTCATGGCTGTTAGTCCTTGAGAAGCTTCATTCCAAGGATAGTTGATACGCTAGAATTTATTGCTCTGAAATGAAGCAGACTTCGAGTTTTGTTTTGTTTTTTTAAAGTACTGCATAATATGTACCCATGTATCCAGACTGATTGTTGAAAAGCCTTATTGATATGTGACAGTTTTATCTGTTGCTTCAAGCTGTGTTGTTCTTTTGGGGTTTTCCTAATCTTGTATCTGAATTTTCCTTTAGCTGTATTTTAGATTCCACTGATATTCAAGCCCCTTTAAATGGGTATCGTTTACACTGACTTGGTCCAAATTTTGTAAAAGCATTGTGTAAAAGCAAGCTTGTTTTTGTAAAATATCAACAGTTGTTTTAAGCAAGAAAACATAGCATCACAGTGTTCACAAGCTAAACATTAGAGTACTGAGAACCTGACAATGAAAACAATTATGCAGTGAAACTAACTTTGTTGATTTTTCCAATGTTGGGTGAGAAGGGCAAAAAATAGAAAAGTATAAATGGCAAAAAATATTTAAAATTATTTCAGTTATTGGGATGGGAAGTTAACTGAAAATCAACTTCCAAACCTCAGCCTAAAGTTAGTCACCTAAAGTTATATTTAGACATGTAAATATAAGTGCTAACACCAAGAGCAGGTAGAAGTCTGACAGGATTTTATTAGGTACTACCATGTTCTCAGCAGAAAGGAAAAAAATTGTTTTTATAGCAGTATTCTGTGTGGTTTGGAGTTGAAGCAAGGTGAGCATCAGGAAGCCATTTAGGTAGGAACATAGCTTGAAATTGTTAGGAACTGTGAATGCTCAGTACCTTCGAAAATCAGGTCACTTTAGTTTAAATACCAAAGTATATATTTAGGTGCCTAACTTTAGGCACCCACTTCTAAAAATGTTGGCATACACTAACTATAAATGTTTTTTTAATAGACTGTTTTATTTTTAGGTCGCCAGTCTCCCTTCAATTAGAATAAAATAGAAAGTCTTTAACTATAAAAAGCAGTTACAGGACATGCACAATAATAATAATAATGGAAATTTAATGAGTCCATTCAAAGTTTTGGGAGTGTAATGGAAAGATGACTTATTAAGGAACAGTGATTAGAAAAGGAAAATTCAGGGCTAAATAGGGACAATGTTCTGAGACACAGAGTTAGATTGGTAAAAGCTACTATTCCATTATGAGATGGCCCAGTTGTTGTGCCCATATTATAACAGATTGTTGCTATTGAAAATACACTTCCACCATCACATACACAAAATGAAATTGGGAGTGGTTTTCCTTATTGCTTTGAAAATACCTCAAGTCCTTTTGATCAATTAGCATACAGAATTTATAGTTTTGCAATTTAAATGTCAAGAACTAGGTGGCAACTTTCCATTTGTGCTTTTAATGGCATGTAATGGGGAGTAAGAACCTCCTCTTAAAACCCTGCATTAGACAACCAGACCTTGGTTCCTCTTGCACAGGATAAGCAAGTGCTGTGAACCCTCTATCTTCAGACACACTCCTTAGAAAGGACTGGGGAATGCGTAGAGCCTTACTTCCATCATTTCCTATATTCTTTGGCTCAGATCAGCTGAGATTGTGTTGTGGTTGTGAATTATTCCTGAAATAGACCAGATAGAATGCAAAAATATAGCCCTGAAATCCCCATCTCTCTAATTCAGTGGTTCCCAACCTTTAGAGGCTCCCGGATGCCCGGGAGGTGGGGGCCACTCACGCGCCGGGCATCCGGGGGCGGGGCCGCGCGTCCAGGGGCATGCCAGGGGACTGGGATGCCCTTGCACCCGGCGCCGGCGTGTGCCCTAGGGCCGGGACTGGGGCCGCCCGAGTGCCTTGTGCCGTGGGCCCGGGTGCTATGGCGCCCGCGGGCACCGCGTTGGGGACGACTGCTCTAATTAGTTCATAATAGCTAGGTTAAACGTCATGTAAGTGTGATGAAAAGTACTTCTGGTCAAAACCTTATGGACCAAAGCCACAGTCTGAAACAAATTCCTAAAAATCCAAAGAAGCCTTGTTGTCCAAATAGTCAGCAATTGTACAGTGATGTGTCATTGTGTGGCGCCCGCGGGCACCGCGTTGGGGACGACTGCTCTAATTAGTTCATAATAGCTAGGTTAAACGTCATGTAAGTGTGATGAAAAGTACTTCTGGTCAAAACCTTATGGACCAAAGCCACAGTCTGAAACAAATTCCTAAAAATCCAAAGAAGCCTTGTTGTCCAAATAGTCAGCAATTGTACAGTGATGTGTCATTGTGTTTTTCTTGAATATGACCCCATGAAGATGCAACGTCACTGTTCAACAAGTGCACAGTGATAAAAAGCTATTGATGATAGAACAGCTTATAACATGGCTTGTATTTTGGTTATAATATGTTCTTCCTAAAGTATTTGCCATTTTTGTCTTAGATAAATCTCACCTCAGTAATTTCAATGTTACCTACATTTTCCTGTTTACTATAGGTTGTTGTGTAAGGAATTGTCTATGGCAATTAGAAAATTTGAGGGTGACCTGAGAACCAAGTTAATAGTGGTTGCCATTAAATATTTTGCAACCTTTACATAGCATAATACAGAGGTTACTGTAATGTTAACTACTAACAAAGTTTTTTTTGAAGGTTTTTTTTTTTAAAGGTGAGCTCTGTATTCAACTTCCTTATTTAACGTTTTCTATATTTATTTTGAAGAGCGTAACATCAAATGTGGTGTTTAAATTGTTTTCTAAATGTTTATAATCTTTCTTTTAGTTCCCCCTGGTGTGATACAAAATGGAGCTCGTGTTCTGAGCAGAGGAATGTTCCCAGGAGTCAGGCCATTGCCAATCAACCCTATTGGAAGCATGGCTGCTGCAGTGAGGTAAGAGTATATAGGTACAGAATACAATTCAAGGAATTCGACAATGGATATACTCTGGTTACGGAAGGATTGTAAACAAAATTCTTGCTTATTGTCTTTATTTCTGAGTTTAAATGTGAGGACACAGTGGGCTTTTTTTTTTTGTTTTTTGTATATGTAATCCTGGGCCACCATTCTTAATACGACAATTGCCTCATCATCTGTTGCACCCTAGCTTTTCTGAAATAGTGGGATTATACATTCATCAGTAGATTTGCAGGTTATGGTGATAGCCTAATACCATCAATTTATTTCTCTATAAGCTTTCTGTTGTGTTTCCATTTATAACAGAAATATTTAACTAGATCCTAAATGTTTTCCTAGAGTTAAATATTGATAATAATACTTAAATTCTAACGGCATGTAAACAGTATAGCTGTCGTTATTAACTTTGTAATATGCCTTCTGAAATCCATTTAGTGTGTGCTCCACTTGCAAGAGTATTTTGAAATGTTCAAGAATAGAATGCTGTTTTTAAACCATGACTGTTTCCCTCTGACGGGAGGACAATGAGAGATACATAAAGTCTGGTGATACTAAGGACCCTGGTTCAATGGTTTGGTTTACTTAATGAAAGCAATCACAGCTTACAATTCAAGACCCAAATTCATCCCTCAAATAACTTCACTTACAACAACATAGTCGCACCATGGAAGAATTTGGCCAACTGTATTGCTATTGTCCTTCTTTTCCAGAGTGCTCAGTATCTGCAAAAAAAAAAAATACTTCAACTGCACCGGTTGGGTGCCCTGGGTGAACTTCCATAATCTGTGCTGATTCTAGTTTGGTGAGGACCATTCCGGCTCACAAGCTCTCAACCAGAGGTTACAAATCCACGGAGAGTACAGTGATTACTATCAGCTTAATTCATTGAATTGCTTCAGTTGTTCGTTCGTTTTTCCATAGTCTGTGCTTATAGAAGGGTTCCCTTTATTTTGATCCATTGGTATAGTTTATTCAGCTACAGCTAAAGACAGAGTACCTGAGACCTCAGTTTCCCTTTTATATTATATGTACACAGAAGGGAAGATAGTAATTCAAGAACAACCTCTGTCTGTTTATGGGCAGTTTTTAAATACGTCTTTTCATCTGCTACGTTGAGTGAGGTTCAAACCCAGAGGGGCATCAACCAGAAGTGTAGTTTTCCTCTGTCTGCATTTGTAGAAGGCCTTTTTTACCCAGCAATGATAGCCCAGACATCTTATGCAGTTGTGATGCCTTTGGCTGCCAGCCAGAGCCTGTGTTCTGCTCCAATGGGGATCATAGAGCCATGGGATTAGTTATTAAATATTATTTTAAAATATATAATCCAGTCTAAATGGCAAGGAAGGACATAAAAGCTAGAATTACTGTTCCTGAGCTTATTCTCCTCCCTCAACTCATGGCCATCATTTGAGCAACACAGATATTGTTTCAGAATCAGAGGAAGCTTTGTGGGGAAGAATGGGATATCTATGTTAGAAACATGTTCTTTACACACACACATCCCAAAGACTTCTACATGCTTTGGGTTTATCTGCTGATAGTTGTGACAATGCAAACATTTAGTTAAAAACATAAGAATGGCCATACTGTGTCAGACCAGAGGTCCAAATAGCTCAGTGTACAGTCTTCCGATAGTGGCCAATTCCAAGTGCTCCAGAGGAAATGAACAGAAAAGATGAAGCAATACATCCCCCGTCACCCCTTCCCAGCTTTTCGCAAACAGAGGCTCTGGACACCATTCTTACCAGTCCTAGCTAATAGCCATGAATGGATCTATCCTCCATGAATTTATCTAGCTTTTTATCAAACCTTGTTATAGTCTTGGACTTCACAACCTTCTCTGGCTTAGAGTTTCACAGGCTGACTGTGTATTGTGTTAAGAAGTACTTCCTTTTGTTTGTTTTAAACCTGCTACCTATTAATTTCATTTGGTGATCCCTTAGTTTTTATGTTATGGGAAGAAATAAATACCTCATCTTTATTCACTTTTCCCACACCAGTCATGATTTTGTGTCATATCCCCCCTTACTCATCTCTATTCCACGCTGAAAAGTCCCAGTCTTATTATTCTCTCCTCATTTGGTAGCCATTTCATGCCCCTTATCATTGCCCTTTTTCAATGTCAAAGTATCTTTTTTGAGAAGAGGCAACCACATCTGCATGCAGTATTTAAGATGTGGGCATAGATAGCATGGATTTATATAGAGGTAATAAGATATTCTCTTATTCTTTATCCCTTTCTTAGCTCTTCATCCAGTGAGAGGTTGGTGGTCATTGTAGAATCTAAATAGCTGAATTTTTGGACTACTGTTGCATTAAGGTAACTGAAGGATCTTGTCCTAATGCCATCGTTTTATTGATACTGAAGGTGAGAGCAAATACCTGAAGGCACTTGAAAGGCTGTTTGAGTTCTTGTTAGTAGACCTTCATTATGGGCTATGATGGCAGCAGCAGCAGCAAACAGATGCTCCCTGATTAGCACCTATTTTACTGTAATCTTGGAGTTCCATCAGGACAGGTTCAAGGGTTTCTCATCTGATCTTGTGTGGAGATACACTCCATCTTTCATGTCCTTAAACGCACCGCTCAAGAGTACTGAGAAGAAGATTCCAAAGAATGTAGGGGCAAGAAATATCCTTGCGTCACTCAATTTTTCCTCTCAAAGCTGTCCCAAATGGACCTATCAGACTAGATAGTTGGTCTCGTTTTTTTGTGAAATGAACATATAAGACTTCCAAATTTTTCTATTATCATAAATAGACCTGCTCTGCTGACTGTGTCAAATGCTTTGGTTAGGTCCAAAAGGTGATGTACAATAGTCGGTTTTACTCTCTGAACTTTTCTTGGAGTTGACACAGAGGAAGTATCATGTCTATAGTTGATCTTCCAGTTCTGAATCCGTGCTGTGATTCAGAATAGGCAGGATTTCACCAGCTGTTGTAGGTGCATTAAGATGACCTCTGCAAAAGCTGTTCCTGCTACACTTAGTAGTGAGGTACCTCGGTAGGTCTTGCAGTCACCCTCTTCACCTTTGTTTAAAAAATAAACTCATGTTTGCATCAAACATTTCTTGTGCTACCTAACCGTCTTTCTAGCATTTAAGTAGCAACTGATGAAGATATGGTAATAGGCTACATTTCCCACACTTGAGGATTTCCACTGGGATGCCACCTTTTCCGGGAGCCTTGCCACTTGATAGCAAATCAATGGCCTTGGTTAATTCTTCTGTAGTGGGCTTCACTTCTAGCTCTGGCATGACCTGCAGAGTTGGTATTTTCTGTGTCTGAGGTTGTCTGTATTTCTTCACACACCTTGATCCAATAATGATGTGCACAGTGTCTGCTCACTCATTGTACCTCAGTTTTTGCATATCAATGTCTGTCTTTGGTGCTTTCTGTCATCGTTTTGTTGTATTCCAGATAGGCTAAATGTTTGTATTGGAAAGGCTGCTACCACATATAGCAGACTAACTTAAAAGAGCATGAAACAAAGCTTACAATCAAGACCAAAATTCTAGTGCGCAAAGCTTGTGTCCTCAGTACTCTTTTGTATGGTGGGGAAACATGGACAACTTATGCTCATCAGGAGAAAAGGTTAAACAGTTCCCCCTACATTGTTTATGCTGTATCCTCAACACCAAATGGCTAGGCCCTGGTTCTCATGGGGGGGCTTCAATCTCCCTGACATCTGCTGGGAGAGCAATATAGCAGTGCACAGAGAGTCCAGGAAGTTTTTGGAGCATGTTGGGGACAACTTCCTGGTGCAAGCGCTTGAAGAACCAACGAGGCATTATGCTCCACAACCTGCTATTCATAAACAGGGAACACTTGGTAGGGGAAGTGGAAGTAGGTGACAACCTGAGCAGCAGTGACTATGCGATGGTTGAGTTCAGGTGAGTTCCAGATCCTGACAAAAGGAAGAAAGGAGAACAGCAGAATACTCAGATCCGGCACATGCACCCCCAGCCTGCTTCTGCATCCTGCCTCCCTTCCAGACTATAACTTCACTCACAGCTTCTGCACACTCCCTTCCACCCAAACCTCACATCTCCGCCCCATTCCTACCTGCACCTTCATCACCAGCCCACCCAGACCCCATACACCTATCCTCAGCCCACTCCCCAGCAGCCTCCTCCCACATACTCGGCTAGAATTTAAGGGGAATAACCCTGCTCCTGCACCATCCCTCCCGCTCAGCTGTTGCACCCATCCCCTTCTGCATCCATTTTTGTCATAATGGCTGGTCAGCTGGTGGTCCACAGAAAGGTTTGCATTTAGTGGGGTAGGCCCTAGGCCAAAAGGTTTGAGAACCACTGCACTAGTTGTAACAGGATTTAGTTCAGGCAAGTCCTATGGTCTGTGTTGCACAGGAAATTAAACTAGATGATCATAGAATCATAATGTGGTCTTAGAATCTATGAAATTCTATCTTGAAAAAAATGACACCAGTATTCCAAGAGCTTGGAGTAGCTACAGATTCTACATCAGTTTGTCTTTTTTAAACCAAAAAGCCAAACTACATTAAAAAATCAGAACATGTGGTCAAGAAAGAGCCGCTATAAGAATGTCCATTTGCATGACTGAAAATATGCAGCTTAATATTATTGATAGTTGGCATGATGATTAATAACAGCATATGTGGAACATTGTACACTCAGACTTTATTTAATGGGAATTCTGATGCTTCTGGAGTGCAGTTTGTGGATGTGGGGGTGCAGGAGTTAGGGTTGGAGTGTATAAGGGGCTTAGGGCAGGGGGTTGGGGTGTGTGAAAGATGCAGGAAGCAGGGCAGGGTGCTGGGGGTGGGAAATAGAATATTTTGGGGGGGGGGCCTTGTGGCTGGGGTTG